AGGGCCCCGCCCCGCGCCCCTGCGGAAGCTGCGCGGCCGCGTCGGGGGTCGGGATCCCCGTCAGGGCTGCGCCCGCGGCCCCCGTCGGTTGAATCCTGCCTCGGCTGGCTTTTGCCGTGTAAAGCACAGTTCTTCTCTCACGGTTCTTGCGGAAATGGCGGTCGGAACCCGCTTTCTTTAACGGGCCTGGCTGGAAACCGCCCGAGTCGGAGGCTCTAAAGCCTCAGTTGACACCACAGCGAAGGGTAAGACAGCGGCCGAGAACCCAAAGCTGAGTCACGCGCTACACTCGTTAGATTGAAAACTCAGCGACTGTTTTACCACAGAACAACTTAATGCTTATTCTGTAACATATTTAAAAGTTGAGTTGTTGCTTCTCCACTTGCTAAGAAGGCCAGAGAACTACTCTGTAAGGCTACAAGATTTGTTCTAATAATGCCAAAGGCTGTTGATTTGTAGCCATGAGAATAAAAATGAGAAAATATTTATGGTAGAGCCGGGCCAGGCGTGGCTCAGCGGTTGAGCATCGACCTGGGATCCAGGCGATCAGGGTTCGATTCCGCTCAGGGCACATGCCCGGGTTGCGGGCTTGATCAATGAGTCTCTCATCATTGATGTTTCTGTCCCTCTCTCTCCCTCTTCTGTCCTCCCTCTGAAATCAATAAAGATATATTTTTAAAATATATATATTTGTGGTAGAAAGCTTTGTGTATTGTCACAGTAGGTTATTTTATCCAAGTTTATAATTATCTATAGTTTACTCAGCAGCCTCATTAGTTGGACTTAACTAACTAATCAGAAACCGCTGCCCGGCCGGGGTGGCTCAGCGGTTGAGCATCCCCCTAGAATCCAGGAGATCGCGGTTGGATTCTTGGTTGGGGTGCCTGCCGGGCTGTGGGCTAGATCCCCAGTAGGGGGCGTGCAGAAGGCAGCTAATCAATGACTCATGATTGATGTTTCTACCTCTCCCTTCCTCTCTCTGAAATCAATAAAGACATATTTTTTTAAAAAATGAAGATTTTTTTTAGTCCAGAGTCACTTTTTTTTAAATCCAGAAACCACTAAGATTTTTTTTTTTAATCCAGATATTTTTTCCATTGCTCTTCAGAGAGAGTGGAAGGAAAGAGAGAGAGAGAGAAACATTGACGTGAGAGATACACATCAATTGTGTGCTTTCCGAATGTGCCTGGAAGGGGGACCAGGGATCAGGCCCCAAACGAGGTACCTGCCCTTGGCCGAAATCAAACTCGGAACCTTCAGTCCATGGGCTGACACTCTAACCACTCAGCCAAATTGGCTGGGACCCACTAAGGTCTTTTTTGTTAACATTTTCCCTTACAGACCTGTTTGTAATACAGACTAACATATCTAAAAAACAAATGTAAAAAGTAAGGTTTTCACCATCAGATTTAAAGAGCATGTAGTTAAAAACCTACTCAGCCTCTGGCCCCATGTGCAAGCGGTAGGCAAGAACAAGTGCTCACGAAACACCGCAAAAAGGGACCCAACAGGAAAGTGCTGATCCATTCTCTAGGAAAGATTGGTGTGACGTGAAAGCACCAGCTGTGTTCAATATATGAAATGCTGGAAACACTCGTCATGAGAATTCAAGGAACCAAAATCCCATCTGATGACCATCAGATGACATCAAGGGTTGTGTTTTTCAAGTGAGCTTTGCTGATCTGTAGAATGATGAAGCTGCTGTTAGAAAATTATTGAGGATGTTCAGGGCAAAAACTGCCTAATTTCCATGGCATGGATCTTACCTGTTACAAAATGTGCTCCATGGTCAAAACATAGTGGACGATGAAGCAACATAGCAGAAGCTCATGTTGCTGTCAAGACTACTGATGGTTATTTGCTTCATCTGTTTTGTGTTGGCTTTACTAAAAAAGTTGAAAACAATCAGATTCAGTAAGACAGCTTATGCTCCTCAACAGAATGCAGAAGATGATAGAAATCATCCTCATGAGAGTGCAGACAAATGACTGGAAAGCAGTGGCCCATAAACTGATTCCAGGTAGCACTGGAAGAAACATGGAAAGGCTTGCAATCTATTCCTCTGCTCCACGATGTCTTTGTTAGAAAGTCAAATGCTGAAGAGGCCCAAGTTTGAACTGGGAAAATTTATGGAGCTTCACGGTGAAGGTCGAAGTTCTGGAAAACCTGCTGGGGATGAGACAGGTGCTAAAGTGAATGAGCTGATAGATATGAGTCCCCGGTCCAAAAATCTGTTTAACTTAGGCTTTCAATGGTGACAAATAAAAAATCCTATTTGTCATAAAAGAGAGAGAGAGAGAGAGAAGACCTCAGTAGCTATCAACACAGAGTTTTCTCCTTTGTGTACTTGGTATTAGCAGTCTAATTTTAGACCACCTGCTGAATATGTAGTAACCCATTGTGTTTTGTTATTGTAAACTTTATTTTGTAGAAAAGTTTATTTTATTTTTTTTGAAATATTACAGGTGTCCCA